AAAACCCCAAAACCCCAAAACCCCAAAACCCCAAAACCCCAAAACCCCATGAGATCAATAGTAAAATAATCAAGATTTTAAATTTGTGATTAATCTTAATCTCGATCATTAAATAAAACAATGCATATAATATATATCAATGAAGCTTTGCTCTGATTTTTGCTTGGTAGAGTTGCTGCTTTCTCTTTCTGTGTAAGTAGACGAAGGTATTAATGAAGTAAGGGATGCTTGCACATATGTAAAAGAAATATACTAGTTAATAGTCAAAGTCGAAGTTGAAGAAATTTGGCATCCTCTATGTCATCATTTGACCATCCCTAATATATAGTTTACTTTCAAGCAAAGATGAAAATTATATTGAGTTTAATATGAAATTTCAAAATAAACTTACTTAATGACTGGGAGGGTTTAGATGACTAAAATTAGGGATAGGAAGTATTCAATGACGTAGATTATGTAGTAGGAACTCATTCTTAAGTAATCAATTAAGTAGATCTCATATTTTAAGTCCATGGCTAAGTAGGCATTGTAAAAATGTCTGATGACTTTGCTGAGTGATCTAACAATCACCCAGTAGATGACATATTCATTCTATTCAGTGAGTTAAGATTCATGCAATTGGAAGAGCATATTAATAAGGAGGTTAATTTATTAAGGAACATTTCTGATAAAAGGATCTTTTTATCTTAATGCTGCTGGCTAATCTCTCATTCCTCTTTATACTTACTTGAAGGTTAAATTCAATAACACCGAACCAAATCCATGCATGGATGAGCATGTTAACAAAGATATGAGCTTTGAGTTTGTAAATCCCAGTGAAATGATGAATTATTTCGAGAAAAGGGGCTAATTCTGCTATTCTAAAGGTCTTTTACAGATTATTATGGTCATGCAAAGGGAATCTGAAAGACCAAATATCGTTATTAGGGGCATCTGCGTAGAGTCTGTAGAGTATAAACACACTATTAAATATGTTAAGCATTGTATTATATTTGTTAGTTACCTTCCAAAGATATTGAAGGTGTTATAAAGCATCAGCCAAAACTTAGAAAGCTTCATTTTTGTATCGAAAGAGTCCTCTTACATCTTTAAGCGCAATTAAATTATAATTATAAATTATATTATTGTTATAATTAAATAAAATACAAATTTAAAATGAATTCAAGAGAAGACACAATAGAGGAGTCTTTTAGAAATTCAAAATCAGCTCCACTATTTACCCACGATGATGATGAGGAGGATTTTAAAGCAAGCTCAGATATAATTCAGCAGCACAGAGCCAACATTGCAAGATTCGCTCAGTAGCTAGGTCTAAATTTGAATGATGAATCTAAATCTGAAATAGTTCAGCATAAGGATGAAGTCGCAGATGATGATGTTGAAATCTCTTTCAATAAAACTGACACTTCGAAGCGAAAAATACAGGAATTAGAGTAATAAATGAATTTGATAGAAGATTTTGATTCCTCAAAATACAAGCAAAAGCTTCAAGCTATTAGCAAGACAGTAAGTGAGCAAGTATCTTCAATGAAGTCCAAAACAAATGAAAAGCCAAAAGAATCAGATTATATGACTTTTCAAAAAGAGAACTAGCCTACTAATCATAATATGGCTTTAGAGACTGAGAATTCCCAAAAAAGTGAAAATTTATAGAGTAATATCTAGATTGAGCTCATAAAGTGAAAGTATTAATAAGATCTACAAAAGAATAATAATGACGACTAGGATTGGAGAAGAAAGCTTGATTAAATTAAAAAGAGGTCTGACAGTAAGAATAGCAATCATCATCAATACAGCTACAATGGATCTAATAATGTAATAGAATCTCAGTCTATTCGCCAATCATATTAGAGAAATAATAAATATGCAGCAGATACAGGCGAATCAAATCAGGATTTCAACTTCAAGAGTATTCTCATGAAATACTCTGATCATAGAAACTTAAACTTGCTAAATGATCTATCATCTGATAACATGACTTCATTTAGATCAGATCTAGAACCAATTGATGCTCATTCACCCAAATTGCAAAGTTTAAAAAGAGGCAATAAATTGATGAGAGAAAACGAATCTTAAGATGAAGATGAGACTTTGGCTAGAATAAGACAGAAATATCTTGGAGCAAATAGCCCAGAATAATAAAAAGATAGTAATCTAAGACGTTCAAGTGAAAAAGTCTTGACTGAGTCTTTAAGTCAAGCTGATTATCTAAAGAAATCCTAAGAATTGATTAACTCAAGCTTAGATGATTTACTAAGTAATTTTAAGAACAAATTCTATGGCCTAAATCCTTAGAACAAGAATGATAAGCTCTAGTTTAATTAGGATAATAGAGGTATCTAGTTAAGATAAAGTCAAAATGATAAGAAATATTTGAATACTTAAGGTTCAATAGACGAGGAGAAGAATGAAGATGACAGCATCCAAAATAGAAGTTAAAAGATTGAAAAGTTAGATTTTAAAAAGGCCTAATTAGATAAGACTAATTCAAGAGATAGTTCTTTAGATGAGTCCTTTAAGCATTCCCCTCGAATTTTATAATAAGCTCTTAAGGACAGCAGTCCTATTCAAAATAGAGATAGTGGAAAAAAGATTCCCCCTACATCTTCAATAAGAAAAAGCAAAGAAAAGATGAGTTTGCCTAAATCTTCAGAAAATAAGAGTATTCTAATAGATTAATTTGTCAAGTAGGATTTTATGATGAATGATTAGAATAATACGCAATTTAGTAAACCATAATAAATAGTCGTCCCAAATCTTAATCTTTCAGATTTATAATCATCTCAAGTAAATCAAACTTAAAAGGACATTAATTAAAACGATGACCAAACAGTTAAACTTGAAAATTAAAAATTTGACCAAGAGTCAACTATATAAAACTACGATTTAAGTGAATCACAAATTGATATGTCGAAGTAGTTTATCAATCCTGATGCCACACCTTAAAATTATACATTAGAAATTACAGAGTAGAAATTGAACAATTAAAAGGCAAGAATAAATGATCAAAGCCCTGTAAGATATAACCAACCATAAATAGGTTTGAAGAAGATGACTCCAATAAGGTCTAATAAAAAATAGAAGATCTAGATTCCCAAATACGAATAAGCTTTTAATGCTAAGGCAACTTTTGATGATGAGGAGGATGATTTGTATAAAAGAGATTTTATGGATATTTAAGATACACTTAAAACAATCAAATAAATGAACTTATTAGGTAGTCCTGGAGAGGACTTTAAAGCAGAGATAGATAAAGAATTAAATCCAATGAAGCATAGCTTACTCTAAAGCAAGCCTAATATACAGACTTATAATTCGAATGTGGAAGATCAACCATCTTTGATTGAAAACTAAGAGATTGATTACAATTTGAGTGATGATAGCGATGATAATGAACTTCGGAAATCTAGCTAAAGCCCTCAAAATTATAACACTTTTTAATAGTAAATCTAAAGAGAAACAAGCTAATAGATTTTAAAGAAAAAGTAGAATGTAGTTTTAAACCAGTTAAGGGCAGTTTACAGAAAAGAAAATAGGCATCTATTAGAAGAAGATCAAATAAGCTTCATGTCCTCTTCTGAGTAAAGCTCTTTCTATTAGGATGGTTTAAATCTTAGAGAAAGCTTATAGACTTCATAAATATTGTAGGAATCTCATCATCATTAATTGCAGAAATAATTGAGAAATAATGTTTAATACAACAATAATGATAGTGCAAGTCGGAATATAGTAGAAGATAGATTTTTGGAGAGGAGCTTAAACTAAGGAATTTTGGAATTCAAAGACAATGAAATACCTCTGCTTATGAATATGCTACCGTTAGCACAGAGTAAGTTGAGTTCAGGGAAACTGAAATAGGAACAGAAAGCATAATTATAGTAATAACTTATGAAGATTGAATATCTTGTAGAAAGATTGAGATACCTAAATAGTTTGCAGTGAATGAACTATCTAAAATATATTTAAAGAAGTTTTAATTTTAAATTAATAATCTAAAATGTCTAAAATTATTGATTAATGGCTTGATAATCCTGAGTAGATCTCTAACTTAGCTGCTATTAAAAAGTCTATAGCCTTGGAAATTAAAGCCAAAGAAAAATCTTTAATAAGTCTACTGAAGCAGGTAAAAGATATCAGCACTGAAGGATCATTGGAGGATTAAGTGAGCAAGATAAAAGATAAATAAGACAGAATGAAATAATAATTGACTGAGTAGGATAATCTCAAGTTAATAAAATTGATTGAAGAGACATAAAATGAAATGATAACAAATAGGAGGCTACTTGAGAGTAATAAACTCAATGATATGAATTTAGATCTTGTTGAATAGAAGATTTAGTTACTAGAATCAGAGAGATAAATATCAGAGAAAAGTAAACTAATTTCAAGCATGAGAAATAGTTTCTAAGAAATCTAAAGCAAGCTGACAAAAAGGCTCAATGAAATAAATCATAATTTCATCTCAATAAATGAATAATCAATCAAGATTCAAACAAGTCTAGATCATTAACTAAGAAATATTATCTAACCAGAGTAATTAGCTATTTATATCAACGATGCAATCATTCCAATTCTCTTATCCTACCAAGTCTAAATCAGACAATAAGATTCTGAGTATCAACTTAAGTTATTGGACAGATACAATACACCTGAGGAAATTGAAGTAAATAGGTTTATAGAAGTCTTAATAAATTGTCTTAATAAGGCTTTTGAGAATGAAGCATTCACTAACACAGTTTTGTAGAATGTTGTTTAGCATATTGCCTAATTAGATTAAAATCTAGCCTAAAAGCTTTAGTCAATGAACAATGAGCCAAAGGTATAAGACATATTATTGCAATTAACTCTCTATAAGAAAGATAAGAAACAGTCAGAAGTCGAAGCAATTATTAATAACTTAGAGCGAATAGTTAAAGATCCTTCTGTATGCATTTATTCTGACTTATTGGTGCAAATAAAATCAGATATGACTTAAGAAATGCTAATTTAGGTTTTAGTGAAGTACTATTATCTCTTCAAGGAATTTAAATCATTAAAAGAGAACGAGTAGGTACTTGATCTTAGACTTTGGAATCTTAGCAAGGACTTAATTGATGCAATATACTAGAATGCTGAGGAAAGTAACTTATAAATTGGTGATGATCTGCTGAAAATTATTGGGAAGATAGAATTTTTATGCATACAATAAGAGTAATTAAAGTTTTAAGGCCATTATGATCATGTGATTCACACTTCCATCAGAAATATCAAGAAGCTTGAGAGACTTGACAGTAAAAACGTCCTTAAAAATGTTGCTGAGAATGTATAGCAGTTAATGACCAATCTGGAATCTTTTTCAAGGGTAAATAAATTTAACTTAAGAGAATAATAGATCAGTGAAAAGAGTATGAGTAAGAATTTGTTTAAAGAGAAAATCATCAAGCAAAAGCTATAGGAATACTTGCATCTCCTAATTTCACAGATATTTGTATGAATCTACAGTTTCTTAAATTTTATAGAATGAAATCAATGATATTTCAATAGACTCCAATGACTAACTTAATCACATGATGGAAAAACTTATCGAAATACCATAACTCTTTGAGAACTAGAACATAGATTTGTATTTCATAGAGAAAAATGTGAAGGCAGTTTAGAGACTTTACGATCTTAGATCTCTTTATTAACTTGGACTCAGAGACATCACAGAAAAAGTACTTTCGAGAGATATCCACTCATTCACCTATGACGAGATAGAAAGAATAGTTGAAGCCAGATTTGAGGACACCTAACTGAGGCAGAGTTTGCTTAAATAAATGTAGAAGCAGCTATCAACTAAATGAAAGATAATTGAGAGAGAAGCAACATGATTGAAGGAATGAGAATGTATTTTATTAATTGAAATTAAATTAATTAAGATTTAAGAAGTATTCAATATAGTTTAGGGTTCGCAAAGTTTAATCATTTATTAATATATAATAATGGCAAAGAGAACAAAGAAAGTCGGCATTGTTGGCAAGTACGCTACAAGATATGGTGCAGCTCAAAGAAAAACTATTAAAAAGTTTGAGATCACCCAAAGAGCCACATACACTTGCTCATTCTGCGGAAAGGTAAACATCACATTCGCCTAACTTTCAATAGGACTCTGTTAAGAGATCAGCAGTCGGTATCTGGAGATGCAGAGCTTGCAAAAAGGTTTTAGCTGGTGGAGCTTGGTAAGTTTCAACTGCCGCCGCACTCACCGCCAAGGCTACAGTCCACCGTCTCAGAAGATTAAGAGAAGAAGCTGCCAAGGAGACTGCTGCTCAGTGAAAGAGACAAGGTTAAAGGGCTTGGAATTCGCAATATTCTAGGTTGTCTTTAATTCTTTAATATTAAATATAATCGATACCTCTTCAAATATACCATATCCCCATATCTTAATTTATTTCCTCATCTTCTAGTGGGGTTTTGGGGTTTTGGGGTTTTGGGGTTTTGGGGTTTTGGGGTTTTG